ATATTTGTGATGGATCATTCTGACACAACTAATTCTGTTATGGAGGAGAGTCTGAGGATGATCTTATTGAAGAAACTGATTGGGAAAACTCCCTCAAAACGTGACTATTAATACACATCATATGAGCACACATTAAGTCTGTAAAAATAAAGATGTTTTCAGAACACCATCCTGTCCATTTAACAATTGATTCTGATGTTGAAGTGAGTATGATAAGGACATATTTTGCCAACTACATAAGTGCATCTATAAAAAGAATGGCACAGAGGGCCTTACAAGTGGACAGGGTTACCCCTCTTGAAAGTGTCAGGAAAGTTGAACTTTGCCTAAAAAGAAGAGGACCACAATATTCAGCTTAACACCCTCATGTTCAACAACCTTGATGTGGATGTACTAGTTACCATGCCCTTCATGAAAACCAATGAAATTGGCATTTGATCAGTCAAGGACCAGGTAACAATCAGTGACTATCAATATCCAATATTTACCAGAGGATAGTACTTCACAGTCAACCTACTTACGATGTGCACAAGCCATTATTCTCAGGTCTGAACCTTCATCAACAGTAATTTGGCCTGGAGTGTATTTGGAGTTAAATATCCCCAAAGTACTCCATCCTGAATCTACTCTCGCTATAGAGCCCAGGATTGATGGGAGCACAATATTCAACTGGCCCAAACTTGAAATGATTGAAGCAGTTGGTGGTAAGGTTAGAATCATGAAGATTACCAGTGAGCCACAATTTATACACAAGAACAACCACCTGTATCAGCGTTATCTAACAACAGGCTTTAACACAAACTCCATTCCACAACCATAATTAAACTTTGGTTCAGTTAAAGTCATAAATGAAGGACCACTCACACTTTACTCAGAAGCTGTTTGGCTTGATCGTGACAAAATCCTGAAGGAAACTGAACAAAAGAGATTTCTTGTGGCCCATGATTCCATGTTTAACCCCGAATTTGGAAGCTACAATGGGGCAGTTGGCAAATTTGAGGTTCACATCAACATGGGTCCTATACATTCCCCCACACAAAGGTAAAAGTAGACTCCCATAGTATTCCAGGTATAAAATCAAAATATTACAGCAGAAATACAATGAACTTGAGGTGCTCAGGGTACTCTGGAAACCAGAGGACATAGGCATTACAGTTAAGTATATGAACCCATCCTTTCTGGTGAAGAAACCAAATGGCAGTTATAGACTCAATGAAGGTGATGTTGCATGAATGCACCCATACAAGAAAGGTGATTGGGTGTGGGAGAAAAGTGTTATAAATCACCAATTGAATGAACATTCATACAAACTCCAGACAGAAAATCTTCTGAAGCAGTAGAGCATGCAAAAAAATGATCAGTCACCATCAATGCCTACAGACACTCTAAGTTTGCCACATGACATGGCAAAGAGCTCCTGCACCTCTAACAGTGTCTTCATCAGCCTTCGATGTTGAGAGCAATACAATCGAACCAGAAAAATGTGAATTTCCTGTTGGGACAGTCAGTATATCTGAAGGACTATGTCAAACTAGTCAAGGATTGTATGAGAGACAGTAGTCTCTAATTACAGAAGGGAGTGGATGTTACATTATTTAATGTATACTCCCTTTGCCTTGCTGTGTAATGTATGCTCCCTAATTGATGTTAAGGAAAGTGATTCTTTCTCCCTGATAAGTCCCTTTTCTCCCTATCCTCTTTCTCCTTCATCTGAGACAGGACAACTCTCTCAAACCTGGTTTTGTCTTGTTTTCCATGACTTAATGGAACATTGCTTCTGATCACTTCTACAGATGACTAAAATATTGGTAAATAACTGGAACCAAATTAAAGGATTAAGTGATTCATTTATTCTAAAAATAATATAATAACTATTAGAAAATAAGAGAAAAGTAATTTCGGTGGTGGGGGAGAGCTGACTGTATATGTACATTAAAAGAAGATTGTGACACCATTGGAAAGGTGCTAGTTAATTGAAAAAAACTAGAAGACAGAAAAACACTAATTTTTTATAGACTGAAGATATACTGATGACCAGATGAAAGAAAGTAGAAATAAAAGAAGTTAATTAAATTTCTCATCGGCTGGAGATGCAAAACAAAGGGACCATCAGGTTTTGGTCAGGACTGAAATTAAGTGAGGCCATATTGTTGGAGGTCCAAGGACCTCCCGGAAAGAAATAGATAATATTTTTATAACCATTGAGTGACGGAGAGGAAGACAGACCTCTGGCCACAAATTTAGTTAATTGATAAGGATTAACTTTTAAAGCAGACAGATTTCCAGAAGAAAATAGGTAAAAGAATGGTAATTAAATTTTTGGTCTGCCAAAGTGCAATAAAACTTCCCAAATCAAGGAACTGCCCCCTTTTTTGTCACTTGTTGGCCAAAGGGTTGATGAGGGGATAAAAAAAAAAATAAATCCCTGATGCAAAAACAACCACACACAAAGCACGATAAGTAAGAATTTTGAACAATAATTAAAATTTGGCTGTTTGGACTAGACCATGCCTAGCTCTTGGGAGATGGGTTTGATCAGGTGACCAAAGAGGAAAAGGCCCAGGTGGAATTTCAAGAAAGGCAGATGACTTTCCATGCTGCTCAGGCAGTGATGGTTAAGAGGCACTCACACAAAGCAGGAAACAGACGGGTTTGATCGGGTGACCAAAATAAGAAAGCCCAGGCAGAATTCCAAGGAGGAGTTCCCCCATATTTGGACATTTGCAGGGAGAGACCTGATTAGTTGTATGGGGAGTGCTGGCATTCCCAGAGCACATCATGCTCCACACCAGCCCTTGCACAGAGGTTCATAAAAACAGAATGGCGAGTAAATGAGGAGACTATGGCAGAGAGACTGTAGAGACAAGAATGAATGGAGAGACAAGAAACACCACTTTGCCTGATCTATGTGTGATTCACTGCCCAGAAGAAAAACCTCCAACCTAAAGCCTTGTCCCAAAAGTCTCATTCAAAGCCATAACAAGAATCTGTGTGTCATGATGGTTGGAAAGGGTCAATAGTTATTGCATGGAGAATATAAGCCTGCTTAAGCCATCAATAACTGTACTATCAATTTTGTATCAAGGAATTGTATATAAATGTTTTTTTTCTTTTATTCAATTTCTTTTTTTCATGTGACTTTACTCTAACCAGACCAAACCAAGTCATCAATTCCAGTTGACCATTCGAACCAAGCCAATCTTGCACTCAATTGACATAACATGGGGCAAGACAAGACTTGGGCTGAAGCAATCAACTCTATGATCAGCCAATGGGATCAAACTTGAATACAAAGTGGCCAGGGTAGACATCAGATTAAATTATTAAAATCAAGAACAAGAAATGCAAAGATCCTAATTTTAACAACACGTTAAATTAAACCAGTTGACCAATAACGTCACATGTTAAATGTCATTACATATGAAATTGTGTTGTCAAACTAGAAGAAATAATGGGATAGAAATATGATAACATTCAATAACTGAAGAAAAGATAAAATAAAAATGTTGCTATTTTTTTTAAATATATTCTTGAAAAGAATGAATTTTACTCTTTACCAATTCAATAATACACACTGATCAACTAAAGAATTTTCATGATTTACAAGAGTCTTTGATGGATTGTACCTGACACACCATTAGAGGAATGTCCTATGTGTCTCTGAGGAATTAAGTACCAGCCTTAAAGAAAGATACTAAATAATTACAAGAGCTCTAGGTTTGTCATTACAAAATGACAGGAATTCACATTCAGTGGATAACTAACATAATTCCTAATTTTTTTTATTCTGAAGAATTTAAAAGAAAAATTTTCCAAGAGAATTTGTTGCAAACAGCAATCTTTATCTTCTTTGAGAATATCTGATTTCATTTTTTTACAGTACAAGTGGGATTCTAATAAAATTGACCATGCAGAAAAGGAAAAGCATTATTTCATTTGGTGAAGTATTTACTGAAAATGATATTTATTGCAACAAATATTGTTCCAATTTTGTAAATCTGAAAAACAAAATCAAACTGACAACATTCAAACTGATTCTCTACCAACAGAGTTTGATATTTTATTTTTTTTATAAATTAGTATATTATTTAATTTATATAATAACATTCATACTACATAACTAATGAAACCACCAACAGAATAAAGGAGATTATAATCTGGCCAATATACTTAAATGAACATTAAATTAACAAACATGACTAAGTATAGTAGAATTGTTTGAGACAATATGTATTTGGTTAGCAGTAAGTTTTAATGAACTCAGTATTTACCCAAGTCCTCCCCACAAGGTGGGATGTGGCACAAGGTTGGCTTTTAACATGGGGCTTTCTGAGCACATGCACATGGACAAAAATCACCCTCTTCCTCATACATGGGGTCGGGTGGCTGTCTACCTCCCCAGATGAGACTGCCTGTAGGCATAGCTTCATCAGAGTTCCTCTTTGCCCGAAGGCAGAGAGTTCAACTAGCAGAGCTTTAATGAATTCTGCATTTCAGCAGAGTTCTCCTGAATATATGCATGCAGAACAGTTCCATTAATGAGGGAGATGGATCATACCACAGAAAGGACAACAAGAAAGTAACTTTTCATGTTGAAAAGTCTGAGTTTAAAAGAATGATAACTTTTATTCAAAGAGATAGTAAGGATCTTTGAAGGTACAGATTAGTGTGATTCCAGAATTTTAACAATTCCTTTCAGGATATATTCACATATGTTCACTGCTTTCCAAACAGTACCAACATCTAAACTAATCATTTTTTTTTGGGGTGTGGGATTTTCCTGGTCTGGAAGTTCTGTATCAGTTTTGTTCAAACTGAAAATTTAATGTATTTTTTTTTTTTTATTATTATCTTTTCTTTTTGTGAATAAAAAGATTTCCATGACTTTAAAATATTTTTTGTGCCCAGTAACCACTAAATAAACAAATGTAAAATTTTCATCAGTTTTGATGGCACCAATTGAATTCATACAGGAATTCTAAATGAAAAAGTTTTCTCACCTTTCTTTTTGGCCGCTTCCACCATGGCTTCATATTCTTGTTTGTGCTTTCTTTCTTCCTCTGGCGCTTTTGATGGCAGATTCCTGAAAGATAATTTATTTCAAATGAATATTATTTATATTGTAGGTAGAAGTCATTGAAACAAAGAAACATTAAAATAGTGATTTTCCAGTTGAGTGTAAGGAAAAACAAAAAATATATTATCTTGTCTTTTTATTCTGATTTGTTCTACTGTCAGTCATATAAAAAAAAAGTATATAAAGAAATCTCAATTCAGTTTTTACTTATCCCATTTTCTCTTCAATTTAAGAATCAACATTCAAATATGGCTGTAATACCGATTTTAACATTTGCTCTTATGAAAAGTTCAATGACATGACCGAAGTACACACACGCTCATTCAAAATGAAAATAGTTTGAAGATAAAAATAATGGAAATTTGTTTAAAAATATTAATATATTTTTGTGATTTTAAAAATCTTTTTTAATCAGCAAACACCAAAATATTTCTAAGTTACAAATTGTTTTTCTTGAATCAAAAAAAAAAAAAAAAAAAGCTGGAAAGGATTTACTAGAGAGGAGAAATGGCTTTTTTCTATTGTTTTTTTGTGGGGAGTGGTGTAAATGTTCATAATTTGTTAAAATTATTTAAGCATAAAAATTTCTGTATTAAATAAAACATTAAAATGTTTTAAAATGTTTTATCTCCATTTTGACAGCAAACTTAGTAATTAATATATTAGCTTAATAATTTTTTTAACATAAAAAAAAAAATAAAATGGGAAGATAATAATCAATTTTCAACAGCAGATTTCTAGATGTCTACAGAGAAAAAGTAATTGGTTCATTTTCTATGACATTGTTTAAAGTCTCATTAAAATATAATATAATGACTTAATCATTTAAACAATTTACTTTGTATGTGTTCAAACAGAAGAGAGCTTTGAACAAATTCTTTGTTTCATACCTTAAGTGACCTTGAAATGACCCTCACTCACTTCCTCTTGATTTATAAATCTCCAATCAAATTTAATAGACTTGCTGCCAATTTTTATAAATTTTATATGTAATGCTCATCCTAATAGTAAATTGGCTGATATTTGCCTGGCCCTCTAGATTGTGAATTTCTCTGTCAGAGAATAAATAGTGAGTGTAACTCCATAGAAAATTATTCAAACCAAATCTCCTGACAGCATTCTCTTAATCTGTCAAAATCACCGTTTTAATTTTCTGCTGTTACTTGCTAAGATCTTAGCTCTGCTGAAAATTTGGTTATAGACAAGCCATCTTTTTTTAAATTTCCTTAATTTTGCTGTTATAGTTTGACTCTTTACATTTGTAGCCCTGTGCTGTACCACTGAGTACTTGTTTTATTTTGTTTTTTTTGTTAACAGCACATGGCTGACTGAAAGAAGCAACGTGAATGAAAGGGAAATGTTTTTGAATTCAAATGCCAACTCTTGATGGAAGAAATAAAAGAATCCCGACTAAAAGAAAATCCCAATTTCTCAACAAATATTCATAAACTGAATTATTTTGCTGCTAAAACATCTCTACTTAATATTCAAGTCGATTCATCCATTCATTTTCTGACTTTCAGAAATTTAAAAAAAATATTTTTGGATAAAGAACTTGTTGGAAAGTCCAAATCTCAAGAAACAAGAACTTCCATCTTATTATTTTCAGGTTTCTGACATTACAATCACTACTATATTCTTAAGAACCAAATGAAAATACCAAAATGTCTGAGTGTTATTTGTGTGTTTGGTCCATGTTCTTTTTCTAAAAAAATGGAAAATTCTAAATTGGAAGTTGACATAAATGATTCCTCTTTGCTTCAAAATGGTATTTTACATCTTGCACTCTGACATAGCAGAATAAATGGTTTATTTCTCCTAATTTAAACAAAGATCTTGTTATTATTCTAAGACTTTGTAAGCAAACCAGTCAGTTTATGTCCTTGATTTTATATATTTCTTCTTCTTTGCTGTCCAAAAAGAAAAAAATGAGTGACCTGTAAATAATCAGCATCAAGGCTACTGCAAAATTCATGCAGCTGTAATAGATAAGTGCAATGCTTACTCTACTACTATTTTAAGTTGCATCAAGTGGCAGGGTTAATGTTTATAAGCTAACAATTTCAGATTAGGCTCTCATTAATCAAATCTTAAGTGCACTTTAAAGCAAAACATTTTGTGCATAAAACAATATTTATTTATCCTGAACAAAAATATTATTTTTTCACCATTAAGTCTCACATTCTAAATAAATGCTGAAAAATTTTGATTCTAAATATTGGCAGATTTGTTTTTGTGTGTGTGTCTGTGTGAATAACTATACAAATGGATGTCCTCAACTTTACAAAATTCAGTTTGTTTTCAGCAGTAAAAAAAATAAATAAACTAAGGAAAAATATGTAAACAATTCTATATTAGTGAAAATATTAAAATATAAATTGGTTTAGTTTAGAAACTTCAACTTTCTAATTTGTCCTTGGGATAAGTAAAAACTGAATTGAGATTTCCTTTTTGTATTTCTATATTATACTTTTTTTTATATGACCGACAGCAGAACAAATCAGAATAAAAAGACATGTTTGTACATGATAAAAGTCAGGACAAGAAGAAAAAAAGTATTGACACATAACAAATTATCGTTGTAGCTGATTCCTGTTCATAGTCTTCATACAAAACCTGCTGGATTAAGTACCTGAATAAGTTCAACTCTCAGAGGATTAGGAGTGAAAACAAACATGAACGAGTACTTTTGTTTGTTTGTGTGCGTGTGTTCATGCTATACAGAGGCTACAAGTAAACAAGAACTTGAAGAGAGGGTGCTGAAAAGTTCTCGGTCCTACCAAGAAACCCATTGCCTACTAAAAAAAATATAAATAAAATAGAATAAAAATAAATAAAAATTTGATTAGATTTTAGCAATTGGGTTGGGCTGATAATTTTTTCAGTATTTCCTCATATATATATATATATATATATATATATATATATATATATATATATATATATATATATATATATATTTTAATTCTGCAAGAAATTGTGTACTAAAAGATAACTGATAAACTTGAACTTTCCTTTGAGGCCAGGAATTTTTGCTAAAACTATTTTAAAAATTTCAAATGATTTCCAAATATCTTAGTAAATTACAAGGATTTCTTCTACTTCAAAGAGACCAGTTGATTGCTAAATATGTTCATGCTTGAATAAACCATATCAAAGTCAAAGAATAAAAAAAATCAAATTTTAGGTTAATTCATTGGTTTACCTGGTAGATTAAAAATGGAAGATTTTTACATCAGTCATTTTATGGAAATCTTGTGAAGACTTGTTTTAAATAGTTTTTAATTTTTATTATTTTTTAAATATTTACAAAATTGCTTCCATCATGACCTAATGACAAGATCAACTGAAGTTTGTTGTCTTTGTAACTGGGAAGAGATACTGGCCAAGTTACCTTGATAAAAAAAAAACAAGATAGGTGCAGATTAACAATTAATTAAAGATCTTGGCTTGCTTTTGTCAGTCAGTCATTAGAATTTTGAATCAGTTAAGATAAGAATCAAGCAAATATAAAAATCTCCAAAACAGATGAAGTAAAAGCAAATATTGGGTTAGCTAAAAAAGTTTGTTCTGGATTTATTATTAAATTGTTAACATTAAACAAAATTAAGTTCATTCATAAAGAAAACTTTGGATTGTGATGGTTGTTATATCAGCAGGAATTTTAATAATCATAAAAATTAGCATTTTTTTAAAATTCTAACATTGAAAGAAATCATTTTTTTTAAAATGAAAAATGCAAGACAGATTTGTGTATGTTATAGAGAAGTTACTGTGAGTGATCAAATGAGTCTAAAGTGGTTTGAAAAGTTTTGCCCTAGAGTTTAATTGCTGAACAATGCTTTAGTTAAGAATTCTTGTTCAGGTAGAAAGCAATGAAATTCAACACACATTGCTTGAAAACAATGTTATACAAACATGAATGATATGTGACATATGCAAATCAAATAATCAAAGTCTGTCATGGCAGTATGACTTAACACAGGACCCTATACAAGTGATATATAACATAAAACTGCTAGAAAAAAGAAATGTGATTCATCAGCAGGTAAAAAAGCATAGCAATAATATTGAAATGAAAAAGAGGATAGACAAAATATTTAGAAAACCAATCTTCCTGCTACTGTCAATTCTACCAAATAGGTATCATCAGGTAGTAAAATTGGATATTCCATCCCAAGATATTCTTATACAGATAATTATGTCACTGGTAAAGGAGAGAAAGAAAGAGGGAGGATAAAAAAAAAAAAGAAAAGAACATGAGATATTTTATATAAATACTGCTACCAGAGTTCATAGCTTGCTAGTAGGACTTTTCTAGCATGATGTCATGATTCCTGATCTTTTGTTAAGCACCTTATGTTGTTCATAATCACCAATTTCTCCTCTTGGCATAATTTACACATTTTATTTCCACTGTTAAATGCATGGACTTTTCTCAACACATCCCATTTCACGATTTGTTTATTGGCTTTGTGGGAGTTTTACCCATACATGGTCCCCTAAGTTGTACATCAGTTGTCTGCACTAAGGTTCTGGTGGTTGTGTTGTGTCCATGCCTCATATATGTACTCGGTAGTGGTAAATCTCATTGATGCGCACGGTGATACGTCATATTTTGGTGTGATATTGTGCCAATACTAGGACTCCATTACCGAGCATTGTTTCCGTGTCACAAATCATTTGATGCTGCAATGATATCATTCAACTATTCCATTGTCAGAGGAGATGTGGACTCTCACTCTTCCAAAAACTCCTTAAACAATGGAATGCAGTGTCATTGTTGGTGAGTATTTCAGCAGGAGAGCCTCATTTGAAAAATAGGGCTTTTAAATGGTCAATTACGCTGGCTGAATCCTGTCAATGCAGTTGTCGCCAAATAGTAAATTGAATGGACCACAGTCTATTAGCATCCGGTAATATTTGCTATCACAATGAGTAATGTCCATCCCTATTTGGGACCATGCATGACTGACATCCAGTTTTCCTTTTGGCCATTATACTGA